TCAGCAGGAGGGCAGCTCCAGCTCAGCTGCATGGAGACAAAGCACTGTGCCCACCATCCGCTGCCCCTCAATGCACATTTGCTTGCTGTTTACTGCTAAAGGGGTGTCATCTGAAGACTGCTAGAAGAAATTTCCAAAGCAATAGTTAGGCAGCTGCCTTTGACCTAATGTTGCTTAAGTGATGAAAAATGGAAAAGAAATTGGAAGATGTAGCCTGATTTTCAGCCTCTAATCCTTCTCAAAATGCAATTTATCAAGCACCTGCATTTTGTCACAATTACTGTTTGGAAGCAACAGGAAACTGGTTTTGCAATCAGGTTTTGAATATACTTCTGTGTGTGCATATACACCTGTGTGCATATATACGTAAATATATATCAAATTAAATGTTTAACTTGGCAAAGTCTCACAAGGAAAGTTATTTATTTCCTTCACATTACAAAAAATATAAGAACAAACAAAACTAGTGTCACATTAACAGGCATAGTAAACACACTTACCTTCCCTTTTACTGGCTCAGCCGATGTGGGCAGGAGACTGTAGTCAAATTCTAACTCTGCACAGCACTATTGCAATATAGAAATAGTTTGAGGCAGGCAGACGTAGAAGGGAAAAAAATGTAAAAAAAGAAGAGGAACACTACTACTGATTATGAACAAAATAGAATTTTATCTTTCCAAGTGAACTGTTTTCAGCTATCAGGAAAATTATGCAGTTGTGTTTCCCCTTGCTACTTTCAGCCTTTCTGCTTAAAGCTCTGCAAATACAAGTTTTATTCACATGCAGCTAGCCCAGTTTTGATTCTGATCCTCTGATGCCCCTGTTACAGCCTAGGATACATTTCAGGATCTTCTGTTTGTCTTTATAAGTTATCTTGTTATTCTATCTTAAATCCAGATCATTCAGACCCTGAGCTATAGCATTCCTTACTAGAGCCAGTTGGGAAAAAAAAAAAGTCCTCCCACAGTGCCTCCCCCTCCACCCTCTTCCAAACTTAAAGTATTTTTATTCAAAGCAAAGTACTCCAGAATTATATAAATTTCTACTGTATTTCCGCACATGGGCCTAAAGATAATACTGTTTCACTGCCTGTTCCAATGCCTGGATACTAGAAATACTTTATTATCACATTTCAAACATTTGCTTTCAAGACCACCTGCGGAAGAGAGAGCTGATTGTGAGGGATAAATCACTCAAATGCATTAGGGAAAGTTTTCTCAGGCCCATTTGACATGATCCCCAACAACTGTTTACAGTCAAGACCAACACCACACCTGTAAGCCCTAGCCCATTTTTTTAGAAGGCTGAAGAAGGAAAATAATGTGCAGATCAGTGCATACAGTTTACAGCTTCCACAGTTATGTATATGTGAGGAAAGGAGAAATCAGATGCTGCCAAGTTACTTGGAGTTCATCCCAGCTGTAGATGTCCTTCCACCAGAGCACCTCCTGTGCAAGCCTACCTTTTCTTCTCCCACCAGACAAGTGTCATACCTGACACAGCAATTCACAGAATCGCCTTTGAAGCAGTTCCCATCTTAGTGTATTAACAGTTACTATGAAGAGACATTGACAAGTCTTACAGGGTTCCTTATAAAGTGATAACAAGCAGTCAGATGCTATCATGTCTTTGAACCTGACTATTGCCTATCACCAACACATTGCATGTTGCTTTAGTCTAGTTATACCTACAACAGTTTTTCACAAGAAAGAATTTTAAAAGTGCATTTTGTTTTGCAAGTTCCAGAAAACACTGGGCACTTTCTTTCCTGTGGTTACATTTCCCCTTGCTATAAAGGGGGGAATGCTTCCCCACATCATCAGCATTACAGTGCCACAGCTCCCTGCAGAAATGGACACCGTCATTACAACTTACTGGAAGAGAAGTATTTATCCTTCTAATTTGACATCCCATACAGAAGTTTTAAAGTCAATGGGCTTTACACTATACTTAGAAACATTCTTTGTTCAAGTTTGGCAGTGTCAGGGCTTGCCTCTCGGGGCTCCTACCTCGATATAAATTTACTATAGCTTTTACACCACAGCTAATGAGGGGTGGTTGGAGGGAAAGGAGATTTCTTTAGCACCATCACCTCAGTGCCCAAGCAAAAATTTAAGGCAGCTCTCAGCAGCCTGCGCAGCTTTTCTACTGGATGAGGTCTGTAGTAAGTAATGGCAAGGCATGATCAGACATCCAAAACAGACAGAGCTGTGCTAGGCTGACTTGAGTTGAAGTAGCTTCCTTGACCAACAAGTTCCCTCATTTCTCATCTCTTATCATGTGGGTGGGGGGGGAGTAGAGAGGTGGAATGGGTAGGTGGGTGAGGAAGAGACTACAACCCAGACCTTCAGTCAGAAGGAGCACCAGACCTCTCCGGCTTTCTGCAGGAACCAATATAAAGCATTGTCCTCCTCCACTCCCATCCTTGTTTGTCAGCCCTGTTCTTTGTAACTCCTTGGAACTTCTCTACACATCTACCAGTTTATTTTTGTTTATCTACAGATAGATATTTCTGCAAACTACCTGGAGTCATTTAAAGCCAAAGTCTCACCCATTTTCAGGGTGTGGTGTTATCTGGGGTTTTGTTTGGGGTGTTTTGGTTTTTGAGTCACAGCAGCAGCAGCCTCTTCCACACTTCTGGGGCTCTCTCTTTTCATTTACTTTAGCTCTCTTTGAAGAAGAGCTTTGTCTATTCAGAGCTGGAAAATTACACACTGTTTCCATTGTTATGCCTCTTGCTAAAAAAGCAACCCCACAGTTTGAAGGAAGCAGTAAATGTGAAAGCAACATGAGCATTGAACAACATGGGAACAATGCCAAAATATTGGTCACAAGTCAGCAAGCACAGTCTGGAGCTGTTTGACACATCAGTGCTTAACAGCTGTGCCTTAGAGGATAGACACAGGGTCCCATGTAACTTTTCCTACAAGACAAATTGTAGTTTCACATGAAGTTGTTTACAGAGCACCTATATGTTGAGCATCAGTCACATCACCCTGTGAAATGCACGCCTGAGGCCAAGTGTTCAGTGGGCTTAAGTCAGTAATATTTTTTTCCTATGAGCCAGTGATACACACTCCAGATTTGGAAAGAGAAAGCTAAATGTGCTGGAATCAAACCAATACATTCTTTAATTGCCCAAGCTTTTGAGGTGTTGGTGTTAGCAAGTGAACAAGAAGTAGTGTGAAGTTTCCATGGTTCTGCAGCAAAAATTGCACATGTACGATGCAATGACATGACTGCTTCGTACAGAAGAGAACAGCTTAATATCACACAGTTGTTCAAAAACACAAAACAAATACAAGCAGCAAGCAAAAGCATGACATGAAAAAAAAAAATCAGGTCTATTTGGTACAGGAAGCTTGAGAGAGAGATGAGTTTGTTAGGAATAAGGTGGGCTATGCAGGTGTGAGAACAGCACCTTTGCTAAAGGAGTGCCGGTGCCACCCATGGAGTTACTAACCCTTCCTCCTAAGAAGATTTTGTTAGGAAGTTCTGCAGCTTTGGTCCAGCCCACCCACTCATCAGGATCCCACCTGATTCTCAGACCAGATGGCATGGTTGCAGATCTCTTAAAAGGAGAAGGGAAAATAAAAAGGAAAAAAACCACAAGACTCCACAGAACATTTTACCAGATGACCTGCAGATCAGTCCTATTCCCCCTTGCTATAACTAAACCAATAAGGAATTTGCCCATGCAAGAGTGAAGGCTGGCACACTGCCAGTAGTTACTCACTTTTCTGGTCTTCCACCTTCTCTTGAAGCAACTGGCATATTCTTGTTAAAGCTGCATTCGCATCCTTGAGTTTTTGCTGCTCAGAAATGGCTTCCTCTAACTTGCATTTCAAGGATGTGGCTTCCTCACAAGCCGAGTGAAAGGCTTCAACTTGATCCTCTGCCTAAGCACAAAACAATATTTAAGGAAAAAAAAAAGAGAAGGATAAAAAAATAAAGCAGCCTGGCTAACAAGAGAAGCCTCTACAGCTAATGTAAGTGAAACCAAACTGCATCTGTTCTTTGTCAGGAAGTGATAAAGCTCCCTCTGAACTTCTGCATTTTTACATCGGGGTGGACTGTGTATGGAACCTATTTTTGGGGTTTTTTTCTCTTCTTTTTTTTTTAAGCCACCACAAATATGCAATGCTGCCTCTTTCATCAGCTAACTGTTGTCACCACCCCCTCAAATTTTACTTCCTCTGCTGGTTCCACTTTTGCAATGAAGCACTCCATTCCGAACACGCGATTTCCTTTCCCAAGAGCAGCAATGCATTGTACGTAGCCTTTTGCATCTGTTTGCTTGTTTTGAGTAGGAGGAACTAGACTGTCCCTTACCTGTTTACTGGCATCCTCAAGCTGCTTTGTAGCTTTTTGCAGCTCTAAACTAAGGGCTTCTGCTTGGCCAGCAGTTTCTTCTTGTAACTGTTTGACAGTCTCTATCTCACGTTGCCTGCGGGGTGAGAGAACACAAACCACAATCCGTTAGTGACATTTCAGAGCAGGCATGCCTGGGATATGACACATGCTAGCTGTTGAGACATGCATCAAGAACCACACTGAGCTGTTACATATTGTGGCTCCTCAGGATCCAGCATCAGGGACTTTATTCATGCTCAGCACAAGTCAACCTAATAGGCAGACATGGCTTTTCTACAGCAGCTCCAGAATTAGGAAGGGGATGGAGGTTTTTCCTGGTTTCTCCCCAGCTGAACAGTGCAATGGCTGTGCCAGTCCAAGCCAGCTGGGTACCATAGGGGAAGCTTGTGGAATATCCAGAGAACTCTCAAAGAACAAGAGCTTAGTGGGGGAAACTTTTGCAATTTGGTCAAAAGAATGCATTGTCTCATGGTTTGTGAGAAATAGTATTCAGATACAGAGTCAATCATTCTAGAAAAGATACCCTGGAGCTATTACTGCAGATATGTACCTTCATCTGATTAATTTCCCAGTGTTTCAGAGGATATTTCACTTGAGATAAAGCAGATACCATCAGAGCCAGTGCTAAAGATGACAGCTTTCACAGAACCCCTTCTTCTCCACTGCAGAAACTCTTTGCCCATTTCTTCCCCAACTCACCTTTACATTTTTTTTTCCTTGTTGCTACCACCACAAACAATTTTGATAGAGGCAGTTTTAAGAAACCAAGCCATCAGTATTTTTATCAACTCTTTTCTGAGTGAAGGGAGAGCATGGGGGAGGTCTACACTAACAGTGTTAAGTGGAAGATAAGTCAGGCAAAAGTGTAGTATGACTGCTCTGCATTAGCTCTCAGGGATGCAAAGCCCTAGGAAGCTATTACATCCCAAACCCAGGTAAAGGCATGTGTGCAAAAATTTACATTTAGCATAGGATAGCAGAAGGCTGACACTACAAGTAAGCCTGGGTTCCACAAAAACAACAAATACAAGTTAGCTGTTCTGGCAAAAAAACAAACAAAACCCTTGACTAGCTACTTTCCTGAATGTCTGAGGAGAGGAGGGAGGGACGTCAGAGGTTTACACCTGCTGTCTTTTGCTGCCACATTTGTGACATCAAAACTCATAGGAGGAACCACATGCCAATAAACTAAAATTTTAAGTTACATTCTCATATTTAATGAGATAACTCATTGTGGCTATATCTTTCAGAAACTGAGACATTATATCCTCTCAGGCTAGCAATTGTCTCCCAAAACAGTAATACCTACATACATATATTTTACAGGTCTTCTGCTTCACACAAAACCAGCAGTTAACTTAATGGTTGCACCTGTTAGATAGGCAGTGCCTTCTTGCTTTAACTGCTCAGTCTGTGGTCTCCCTGGTGTTTTCAAAGTCACCTCCAAGGTCATATGTTACTTCAGACACAAAACTTAACTCCCACATAGTGCAAATGTTATGCTAAAACCAGATCCACTCTCCAAAACAGCAGATAATTTCCTCTGTGAAAAATTCTGTCTTCAGAATTCAGTAAATTTTGCTTCCCAAGACGAAAAACCCAACCCAAACCAAAAACAAAGAAAAAAATCCCACTAAACAGCTAAGCAACCAAAGAAAAAACCAACACAAAACAAAAAAACCCAATCAACCTAAAAAGACACATGCTTTGAAGGGGTACCTGGCAGAGAGCTCTTTTCTTAGGTGAAATTGCTCTGTCTTGGTTCTCCTCAGGTTGCCTGCCATTTGAATGAAATCCTTATCTATGAAATCTTTGTATTTTTCTAAGAGCTTAAGTTTCTGGATCCAAAGGCGTCTTTTTTCTTCCAGTTCTTGCTTGAGAACCTGTGGAATTTTGAAACTGAGCTGCCATGTGGTTAGATGAGAAACAGGGTCAGAGAGTAAACCAGAGCTCCAGTTTACATGGTGAATTGATTTCCCTGCTCCACCACTTAGCATCATTGCCTACATCCAACACTATCAGCAATGAAGAAAGTGGATTATCATCAATATTTTTCAATCTACTCACATAATGTCTGTTAGGGGAAGGGTGGCG